AACAGCCTCAGCAGCTGTGTTCTCAGATCTTGCCCCTATCCCCCAGCTGACCCCTGGGTATTTAGAAACCAATTTAAACTAGTCTACTCAGAGTGTTTCTGAGGGAAAGCATGTCTTAATTGACAAATGGACCAGATGCAGGGACTCTTTCACAGAGAAAAGCAGACTTTTCTGATGAACAGCCAACTTTTAACTGCTAGAAGAGCTGTGTGTTGAGCCGAGTAGCCACAGTTCATCTGTAGCATTAGCCTTACATTAAAAATTGTGGGTAGCTGTATAAAATGGAAATATAAACAAAATTATGTGATTTTCAAATCATTTGGATTTATGATTCATTTAAGTTGACAATTCAAATTCAATTTCAAATGAGCTGAGAAAGCAAAGGACTTGAAGATTTATGTAAAGCTAAAAATGTGAAACATTTCAGGGTTAAGATGAGTAATAACATGATTGGGTAAAACAAGAACATTCCACAGTGGACGAGTCAATTTACAAGTATCATTCTTCAAAGTAAACATTTCAAAGATTTGAGACATTTCATAATAACAGATTCAGAGAATCCAGACAATTTACTGTACGAATGACAGCAACATCAGGAAGAAGGAACACGAGAAGCTGGAGAAATACCAAGGGCTCAGAGAAGAGCTCGAGAGGATGTGGAGGGTGAAGGTAACGGTGGTCCCCGTGGTAATCGGAGCACTAGGTGCGGTGACTCCCAAGCTAGGCGAGTGGCTCCAGCAGATCCCGGGAATAACATCGGAGATCTCTGTCCAGAAGAGCGCAGTCCTGGGAACAGCTAAGATACTGCGCAGGACCCTCAAGCTCCCAGGCCTCTGGTAGAGGACCCGAGCTTGAAGGATAAACCGCCCGCAGGGGCGTGCTGGGTGTTTTTTTTATATATTTAGGGGTGCAACGATACTCGTATCGATATTGAACCGTTCGATACAGTGCTTTCGGTTCGGTACGCATATGTATCGAACAATACAAAATTTTTAATTTATTTTATCAACTTTCCTTCTGACGATGCTGTCTGTGTTGAGCGCTCAGTGGATCTGCGCTCGACAGTGCAGCCTAGGCGGAGTAGTCGAACGCAGATTCACTGAGCGCAGGGCAAGCTAGCGAGACAGAAGTTAAGCTCTCCTTGCAACATGGAGGTCCTATTTTGACCTCGGGACTTCCAGGCCATATTCGGCACAGATGTTCCTGTACACTATGCCGGCCACTTGGTTATGGCGTTCCATGTATGCCTTGCCTGCTAGCATCTTGCACCCTGCTGTTATGTGCTGGATTGTCTCTGGGGCATCTTTACACAGCCTGCACCTGGGGTCTTGCCTGGTGTGATAGACCCCAGCCTCTATGGATCTTGTGCTCAGAGCTTGTTCTTGTGCTGCCATGATTAGTGCCTCTGTGCTGTCTTTCAGTCCAGCTTTGTCCAGCCACTGGTAGGATTTCTGGATATCAGCCACCTCCGCTATCTGCCGGTGGTACATACCGTGCAGGGGCCTGTCCTTCCATGATGGCTCCTCTCCCTCGGGTTTTAGTTTTTAATTAAACTGTTTTAAACAGTGTTTTAGCTTTTTATGAAACTGAGTTGTAGGATAGCAAGACTTTTAACTTAACTTGTGATGCCTCAAAGGCATTTATGTTATTTATCTTTAATGTTTGCTTTAAAATAATTATTTTGTATGTATTTAAGTTAAAAAGAACAGTAAAAAGAGTTAAAAATGTTAAGAAGCTTTAATTTTGAAGGTGAACTTGCTAATAACCTCACTTCCTGGTGGGTTACCTGTATTGCTTCATTTCCTGTTTAATTCCTCTTCCTGGTTGCTCTAAGAGGGAGAGGGACATGCGGTCTTGCTCTGAGGCTTATCCACAGCCATCCACTTGGGAACATTGTTCAGGCAACGCCTTTTCACCGCTTGTCAAATGAAGATTCTGAGTAAAAAGTCAACTCTACTCGGACTCGTGTATTCATTGACAGAGGTTTAGCTTGGTGTTTGATCAGAGTTGCTACACTCTGCAACAGAACACTACAGTGAAAAGGCGGCACTCGATGGTCCTACGTGTTCGTGATGGCAGCAAGCAACAAGTCATCGGTATCAAATACCAGGAGCAACGTGACATCAGCATCATCTGTAAGTGCGGCTCGCGCCAGAGCTAAAGCAGAAGCTGCTAAGGTACGAGCATCATATGCTAGCCAGGAGGCTAAATTAAAATTGGAAAAGGCTGCTAGAGAAGCAGAAAGGAAAACTAGAGAAGCTCAAAATCAGTTGGAAGCTGCTAGAATTGATACAGAGCTGGAAGTGCTAACATTAAATCGTGAAGCAGACGCAGCCATCGCTGAAGCACAGGTGTTAGAAGATGTAGCAGAAATGCATGGAAATGTAGAAAATATGAAATCTGAGTCAGAAGACAGGCTTAGATTGCAACGTACTAGTGAATATGTTTGCTCTCAAAATGATCAGAATCAGTCTACCTTCGCACCAGTATCTGTCCCACCTGTTAAATCTGTAGACCGTACAGAATCACAAGACAGTTTCAGAACATGGCATCCACCTGTAAGCTTAGCGGAATTCCAACATAGCAATAGCAAGCCCAAGCCTGAAGTGGATAATGGGACGCATCCACCCACAACAAACCTGTCTAAACTGACCAGAGCTGAATTGAAGACCGACGTCGAAAGAACAAACCCTCGCATGTATATAGGTGCTCAATCACAAACACCCCGGCATATGCTTCCAGTGAGCGTGTCACAACCACCAGACCCTCTGGCACAATATTTGGCGCGACGTGATCTCGTTACGTCAGGACTGTACCAATTTGATGATAAGCCAGAGAATTTCCGTGCATGGCGGTCCTCATTCACTAACGCTGTGGCTGAGGTTCAACTTACAGAAACACAAGAATTAGACCTCATGACCAAATGGTTAGGAAAAGAGTCTGGACAGCAAATAAGATGCATACGCTCAGTGCATGTGAATAATGCTGGTTTGGCTCTGCGCAAGGCATGGGAGAGGCTGAATGACTGCTATGGTGCCCCTGAGATGATCGAGCAGTCACTGTTTCAGAGACTTGACAGTTTTCCAAAAATTGCAGCCAAAGATCACATCAGATTACGTGAACTTGGGGATTTGCTTATGGAGATACAAGGCGCAAAGGAGGATGGATACCTCACTGGGCTGTCATATCTAGACACCTCCAGAGGTATCGGACCCATTGTAGACAAGCTCCCATATGGGCTCCAGGAGAAGTGGGTGTCATCTGGGTCGTGGTACAAAGAAGAGAATAACGGCTGCTTCCCTCCCTTTAGTTACTTTTGTAACTTTGTTTGTCATGAGGCAAAGAAGCGAAATGACCCCAGCTTTATTCGTCAAAGCAACGGCGCAAGCCCCACAAAACAGAAAGATTACCTATGAAGAGCTTTAACACCAACAAGTCTATCGCGGTTCACAAAACAGATGTCTCTACAATCAACAACGACGCTAACAAGAACTGCCCATTGCACAATAAACCTCACCCACTTAAAAAATGCAGGACATTCAGAAACAAGTCCATCGATGACAGGAAGGCCTTTCTAAAACAGAAAGGAATATGCTTCAAGTGTTGTTCTTCAACTTCACATGTTGCCAAAGACTGCAAATCTTCCGTGAAATGCTTAGAGTGTGAAAGCATCTATCATGATGCAGCCATGCACCCTGGCCCACAACCTCAACTCACCAAGGCTCCTCCACCACCACAAGAGAACGGCGGGGAGGGAGAAGATGACTCTAATGTAACTGATGTTAGAACCAGCTGCACAGAGGTTTGTGGCCCCGGCCAGTGGGGTCGTTCTTGCTCTAAGATCTGCCTTGCAAAGGTCTACCCCAAACATTCAAAACACAAAGCCATTAAAGCTTATGTAATTCTGGACGACCAGAGCAATCGCTCATTAGCCAGGCCAGAGTTCTTTGAGCTGTTTGGTGTGGAGAACAAACCACTCTTATACCATCTCAGAACATGCTCCGGCGTCATCGAAACGTATGGCAGGAAGGCAGAAGGATTCCAGATAGAGTCGTTGAACGGCAACGTTCTCATACCTCTTCCACCACTCCTTGAGTGCCCTGAAATCCCTAACAATTGAGCTGAAATCCCAACACCAGGTGCAGTTTTGCATCATCCTCATCTCCACCATATAGCCAAACACATCCCTGATCTAGACCCAGAAGCAGAGATACTCCTGCTGCTCGGGAGAGACGTGCTTAGAGCACACAAGGTCAGGCAGCAAGTTAACGGGCCACACAACGCTCCCTTTGCACAACGTCTCGATCTAGGCTGGGTGGTGATAGGGGAGGTGTGCCTAGGTAATGTGCATAAGCCAACAGTTGACACATTCAAGACCCATGTGCTAGACAGCGGTCGCCATTCCATATTTCAGCCCTGTGCAAGTTTCATGCAGGTCAAAGAAACACAGCCAAGCTTCAACAAGTCTAACAAAATGCCAGAGAGGATGCTAGGACACACAGTGTTTAACCAATCTGAACATGATAACAAACCTGCCCCATCAATAGAAGACATCCTCTTCCTAGAGATCATGGATACAAATGTCCACAGAGATGACACTGGTAGTTGGGTTGCTCCATTGCCGTTCAAAGAACCACGGCAACGTTTGCCAAATAATAAAGAGCATGCGGTTAAGAGGTTTGAATCCTTGCAACGCCAATTCAGGAAGAAACCCGAGATGCAGAAGCAATATGTGGCATTCATGGAGAAGATCATTGCCAACGGTCACGCAGAGGTGGCACCACCCTTGAGGGAAGATGAAGAGTGCTGGTTTCTTCCATCATTCGGGGTATACCACCCACAAAAGCCCAACCAAATCAGGGTGGTTTTTGATTCCAGCGCTCAGTACTGCGGGGTCTCCCTCAATGACGTGCTTCTGACTGGTCCCGACCTCAACAATTCTCTCTTGGGTGTCCTTCTACGCTTTCGAAGGGAGAGAGTAGCTATCCCGCCGACATGTGCCACGTGCATACACATCAACCTCGCTCACCAAAGCTGTGCGCACAGAGTTGTTTGTATTCTCAGATGCCTCAACTATGGCCATTGGGGCTATCGCTTACTTGAGAGCCATCCAGGAGGATGGAAAAGTGGAAGTAGGATTTGTTATGGGCAAAGCCAAATTAGCACCCCAGTCTGAACCAACAATCCCGAGGCTCGAACTCTGCGCTGCTGTCCTTGCAGTAGAAATGGCAGATCTCATCCGAGAGGAGCTGGATCTGAAATTGGATGCTGTCAGGTTCTACACGGACAGTAAGGTGGTACTCGGGTACATTTGCAATACGACAAAACGCTTCTACACATATGTCCATAACAGAGTCCAACGTATCCGACAATCTACCAGACCAGAACAATGGCATTATGTGTGCACGGAAGCAAACCCTGCGGACCATGCATCCAGATCTCTGCCTGCATCCCATCTGACACAGAGTTCTTGGTTCACCGGACCTTCATTCCTGCATCAGTTATCTGCAGAAACAACACAAACCAGTGAGACGTTTGAGCTCATCGACCCGGGAAATGACTCAGAGATTCGACCACAGGTACGCACCTACACTACTCATCTGAAGGAACCTGTACTTACCCCTGATCGCTTTCGCCGTTTCTCCACCTTTACCTCTCTACTGCGAGCAGTGGCTTTCCTTATCCATGTGGCAAGATCTCACAAACATTCAAACCAAAACAGCAGGTGTACAGGATGGCACACATGTCGCTTACCTCGTACTGTGGATGAAATAGCTCAAGCAAAACATGTCATTCTGCAAGCAGCACAAATGCCAGCCTTTGCCAAGGAACTGTCAGCCCTCCAAGCAAACAAAGTGGTGCCCACAAACAGCCCGTTGCATAAACTCAGTCCAACTTTGGAGAGTAGTCTCATCTGCATTGGAGGCAGACTGAAACATTCTCAACTAACGTGTGAAGAAAAGAACCCAGTAATCCTACCCAAGGACAGCTACGTTTCCTTACTGCTCGTACGACATCACCATGAGCAGGTGAGACATCAGGGTCGACATCTCACAGAAGGTGCAGTAAGGGCAGCTGGACTGTGGATTTTGGGTGGGAAGCGACTAATCAATTCAGTCCTACACAAATGCGTAATCTGCCGGAAGCTGCGTGGGAGACCGGAAGAACAACGTATGGCTGACTTACCGCCGGAACGTCTCAAGGTTTGCCCTCCCTTCACATACGTGGGGCTTGACGTCTTTGGACCTTGGTCTGTTGTAACCAGACGCACCAGAGGAGGACAGGCAGAGAGCAAACGGTGGGCCATGATGTTTAGTTGTTTGAGTTCAAGGGCCGTCCACATTGAGCTGATTGAGTCTATGGACACATCTAGCTGTATAAATGCTCTCAGGCGGTTCTTCGCTCTCAGAGGCCCTGCAAAGGAACTTCAGTCTGATTGTGGGACCAACTTCATTGGAGCTAGCAAGGAGTTGGAGATGGGTAATACTGTACAGGGGTACCTCAGCAAGCAAGGATGTAGCTGGAACTTCAGACCTCCGCATGCTTCCCACATGGGAGGCTCATGGGAACGGATGATTGGTGTTGCCAGGAGAATCCTTGATTCAATGCTCTTGCAGCAAAAGAGTCGCCTGACCCATGAAGTGCTGTCAACACTAATGGCAGAAATTACAGCTATCATCAATGCACGTCCACTCCTACCTGTGTCTACAGACCCAAACCAACCTTTCATTCTTTCACCAGCCATGCTCCTCACACAGAAATCAGGAGTTCCACCTCCTCCAGGAGATTTCACAGACAAGGACCTCTTCACAAAACAATGGAGGCAAGTTCAAGCACTCGCGAACCAGTTTTGGGCCCGTTGGAGCAAAGAATACTTACCATCCTTACAACAAAGACAAAAATGGACAGTGACACGCAGAAACCTTCAAGTTGGGGATCTGGTCCTCCTCAGGGACAAGCAGACCATCCGCAACTACTGGCCCATGGCCATAGTCACAGCAACCTTTCCTGGGAAGGATGGACATGTGAGAAAGGTTGAAGTAAAACGACCGACCGGTGAACAAAAAAAAAAAAAAAAAAAAAAAAACGACGACGTGACACAAGAACCTTCCTTAGGCCAGTTGCAGAAGTAGTTCTTCTTCTGCCTAAGGACTGATTTAAGGACTGTTGTTTGGACTCATTCAAGTTCATAGTGGCCTCACATAGGCCAGGCGGGGAGTGTGATGCCTCAAAGGCATTTATGTTATTTATCTTTAATGTTTGCTTTAAAATAATTATTTTGTATGTATTTAAGTTAAAAAGAACAGTAAAAAGAGTTAAAAATGTTAAGAAGCTTTAATTTTGAAGGTGAACTTGCTAATAACCTCACTTCCTGGTGGGTTACCTGTATTGCTTCATTTCCTGTTTAATTCCTCTTCCTGGTTGCTCTAAGAGGGAGAGGGACATGCGGTCTTGCTCTGAGGCTTATCCACAGCCATCCACTTGGGAACATTGTTCAGGCAACGCCTTTTCACCGCTTGTCAAATGAAGATTCTGAGTAAAAAGTCAACTCTACTCGGACTCGTGTATTCATTGACAGAGGTTTAGCTTGGTGTTTGATCAGAGTTGCTACACTCTGCAACAGAACACTACATAACTTGAAGTCTAAAAAAGTCAAGAAAATAGATTTATTAATCACATGGGACAATAAGGACTACAAGCTAGCTCTACAAACCAATGAGCATTGGTATGTAGGAGAGTAAACGCAATAACTAAACTAAGCTAAACAGACCTTTGATGGTCTGTCCCCTGGACCTGTCAAATAATCCAAGAAGACGCTAATATTAAAAAAGATCATAGCAAAACTCCAATTACTTTAAAACTTGAATACATGAAACATTCTTAGTCCTGGCTCTCCACATATTAACACTTGGTGAGGGCAGCTTCTAGTGTGATGCTTTGACTTCACTAGAAATAGATGTAAAACCCAACATTTGATCAAAAAAATACTGATTGAAATTGTCTGTAAGTATCTTTATGTGAAGAGAATTTAATGATTACACATTAGTCAACAAAATACTTTTGACGTTTTCCATTGTGCACGAGTCCATGTTTGTGCTCGTATCATTCAGAAAAAAGTTGCCTGTAATTTACCTCGGTTAAACTGCTTTACCACTTCAAAATGAAATACCTCATGATCATAATTATCACTTTTTTGAAGAGGTACTGGGAACAAAGCCAGAACCGGTTGTTAATACAGAAACCCTCAGGCCGGCCTGTATTTACCGTTTTTCTTAATGACACTTCAGTCGACTTGGTGGTAAGTCCGTATATGTTAACATATGTGGTTCAAATCTGAGTCTCCGCAACTGGGCGTACAAATGTGAGACCACAAGTAAAGAAAATGTCACATACATTTTGAATCTTGTTAAAAAATCTAATTGAAAAGTCCAATATTCTTGGTGTGTGTTGAGGTGTGTTTGGGCATTTTGAATCCTCCTCTGTAAAAACGCAAATCAGAGAAAATAGGCAGTTGCTTCCACTGGGGCAGAAAGAAAATTCAGGAAACAGACTCAAAACTTTTGTGAAACTTTTATCGAGACATCCACGGTGAAATGCTGGTAGTTCTTTGTCCAAATCAAATGTTTCATCACGTTTTCCCTCTGAGGAAATGGTTTAGAGATGCTATTTGTTCTTTAGCTTTACAAGTTTTAATCGCCTGATTTTTTTTACTAATCTTCCTTGGGATAATTTGTTTAAAGAGCCTTTAATTCCTCAGTGGAAACCTTGAATCTTATTCTGCTTCAGGTGCAACAACACCAGTTTCCACATGAGACAGCAGTGTGTGAGCTGCTATCATGTATGCTTTGGAGAGAGTGGCATTAACAAAACGGAAAGCGCAGGAGAAGAGCTGAAGATGTTAAGACTTTTACTAGGAGTCAGCAGAATGGTCAGGATAAACAATGAGTATATCAGGGGGACAGCTCAGGTCAAGAGGGATAGTAGATGTATTGGGCACAGGATGTTGACTATCGAGCTGCCAGGCAGGAGGAGAAGAGGCCGAGTAAAGAAAAAGAATTTCAGAGTAGATGTCCTACTAACATAGCCTAATTCTGTAAGGAGAGGTCATTTAGAACTGAACATGAACATGAACTGAACATGATTTATTCAGAAATAGAACTAAATTTAAAAACTAGACTCCGATTTCCCAACATAGAAGAACAAATACCCAGCAATGATAGAGATTAGGACAGCACTTCCTGGAGTCCAGTCACTGCTGATAGTGGAGATGAAGATGGAGGCTCTGAACGACCAGGATGAGGCAGAAATGCAGAGCAGGCAGATCACACAAGATCTGAGAGTGAAAAAAAGCAGAATAACAGAAGAGGAAAGAAGGCTGATTGGATTGGGGAAGGTGGGCAAAAAAATGACTGGTCTAGGATAATTGTTAGAACTGAGTTTGACAGTGTGGGAATAAGGAAGAGCAGACTTACAGCTCAAACATCCAGGAATTCAGCCAGAAGTAAAAAAAAGATCTTCCTTTTTAAGCATAGGCTTTTCTGTTCATTTTCAGCATCACTTGAGTCGCAAGCAAGCATTGTTGGACAAAATTGCATGATTATTTTATGTTATCTGTCCATTAGAGTCCAAACACCCATCACATCATAGCAAACCATCTAAGTGTTGTTTTATTTATTTATATAGCTTTAATGCACATAAAAAAACAGCTGCTTGTTTAAGTAAAATAAATGGATTTTTTTTTTTTTTTGCGCTAGTAAAGTTGTGGAGTTGTATTTTGTCTCGCAGAAATTATATCGTCAGTTATATCGTTATCACAAATTTTCAAATATATATCGTGATAAATATTTTTGGCCATATCGCCCTGCTCTACCTCTGACGGTCGGTTTCTGTTGGAATAAATGTGATCAAATCCATAAAATCAGTGTGGATTCAATTACTACATTCACTGTGAACTGACTTTGTTGACAATAAAATCTTTTCTGTCTCCACCCACACCCACACAATATCACAACAGATGCTACATTGTTTCCTGGCAACAGCAGCAAACTGCTGCACTTTGATGAGAAAGGCATTACTTAGAGCACGACTTGGAACAATTAAAAGCCTTACCAAACATCTTTTTTGTTCACTTTTAAATGTGTGGCAGGTAGGCCATGAGTTATTTTCTCATCATATATAATACTCTGTGACGTCCTTGAAGAAATGTTCTGGAACACAGTGATCTTTGGCTGGATGTCACCTCACGTTTCCCCTGAGGCCAAAAGTCGAGAGATACACTAACCCAGTTTGTTCTGCAGGAATTTCTGTAATTGTCTTTGATGTATTTCAATTTCATTTTCCACACCCTATGTTCTTCTCAAGGTGTGTGAATGCAGGCTGCAGGTGTGTTAGCTTTGATGTTTGTAGGTGTGCGTGTTTCACTGGGTGGGAACGTGTTTCTATTTACAAATTCTGTGAGTATGCGTGGATGTCAGAATCAGGATGGTTTCTGGGTTTGGTGGGCTGGTTCACTTGAAGGTGCATTTAGATAACTGATATCACGGGCAGATTAAAAGAAGAACACAGGTCAGTGTCTTCACACAGAAAGAGGCAATGCACAATAGGGGTATATATTGTGAAGTTACAAATGATCCCCTAGTACCAAGAATATGGAGAGGGAGAAATCCCCTTTTATAGGAAGACTTCTTCCATAATAAAGTTCATGGATTGACGGTGAAGGGATAGAGAAGGCAGAAAAGAGGAACACAGGGAGACCGCAAACAGCAAACAAGACAAACACAAATTACAGGAAAAAAATCCACCAACGTTAATGGCATGAGAAAGTAGCACATAAAGGAGACGAGACAGGAAGTACTAAGGTAAAGTCCCCCAGCAGGCTGAGCCTGTAGTAGCAGAACTAAAGGATGATTCAGGGCAACCTGAACAAATGTAAAGCTCTTGGAGTCATCTTTTTTATTTATTTATTTATTTTTACATGCATTCATTAACTGGATAGTTAAGTTTGGGAGCTACTAATTCCTGCAGCTGTTCATCAAATTAATAGTTAATGGCTATTAATTCGACACATGCTTATGCACATGCATCGTGTATAAAAAAAGCAAACAGTATCTTGTTGTTTGCTTCCAGGTCCTCCTGTCATGTAAGAGCTGTTTTGATGTTTTAATGTGGATGGCATGTTTGACATGTGCCATTATGCCGTCATTACAGCTTGTCAGGGTTTTCCTTGTGATGTCAGCCTGGCACTCTATGTTAGGGATAAAGCAGATTTATGCCAACTTCCTACTAATGTTCTCAGCTTACTTCATTTGTTCATATTGACAGACTTTACTGAAATGTTTAACTGTAAGAACACTTTATAACACCGGGTCCCGTTATGCTCTAAGGGCTGTAAGGAGGACTCAGCCTGTATTCAGCTCCAAAAAATATTCTTGAGCTACTTTTTCAAACAGTTCCATAAGCAGCTTTTTTCCCAAGAAAAACATTCTGCTAGACTTTTCAAATATCAGCTGGATCGCCATTTGGTCTGGGCTTCTGCTCCAACAGGCGTTCTGGCCCATTTCAACCCCTAAACATTACCCTTTGTGTATACACCAGGATGTACCTGATGAATTTGTGATATAGTTTAGTGAAACATGCTAACTAGTTTCTATGAAATGATAAAAATCAACCCGATGTTTCTTCTGGTTTGATCAAATTCGCCTTGGTCACTTTACATATAACACTTGTTTGTAAAACTTTAGTAAAAGTAGTAATTCATTTTTCCCTTAAACATTAAAATTATGAGTATTAACATTCGTATATTATAATTTCTATGTATTTTCATCATAATTTTTTCTGAATTATAAGTTGTTTTCGTCATTGTGTCATTGCTGACATCATTTATCAGCAATGATGACACTGGCGCACAAACACGTTATAGACCCTTTAAACATGTATTTGTGACCTGGCGATAACAATGATCAGAATTCTTCAAATGTACCATTTTACAGCCATATCAGGTTATTACTATTTCTACTGCTAAGTGAGTAAAATCCATGCAACAAATATCTGTAACTGAGTTGGGATTAGTCAAAACAATAAACAAATTTATGATTTGACCCCTTTAAAATTTACTTATAAATTTATCTGAGAT